GTTTGCACTAAAGATTTGGAGGCATTACCTCTATGGGGAGACATGTCACATTTTTACCGATCATAAGAGCTTGAAGTACGTATTCACTCAGAAAGAGTTGAATATGAGACAAAGGAGATGGATGGAGTTGATCAAGGACTATGACTTGATCATCGACTATCATCCCGGAAAGGCTAATGTAGTGGCCGATGCACTGAGCAGGAAAAGTACGTCGGGGACATTACTCACATGTCTACGAACTTTGAGGGCACAAGTGGAGGTGTCCACGAGTGGGGTCCTCATTGCTAGATTCGAGGTTAGGCCTACATTGCTGAGTGAGATAAGTAGATGTCAGGCCACTGACGAAGAATGCCAGAAGATCCGCGAGAGGATTCTTGAAGGGCCCGTGGAGAACTTTCGGGTACGTGATGACGGTCTTTTACTGTTTAAAGACCGTGTATGCATACCAAAGAGTGAGGAGCTCCAAAAGTCCATACTAGAGGAGGCTCATTCTTCGGCATATGCTATGCATCCAGGAGGTACTAAAATGTACCGAGACTTGAAGGAAAGTTACTGGTGGTCGGGTATGAAGAGAGACATCGCGGAGTACGTGAGTGGATGCCTTACTTGCCAACAAGTTAAGGCAGAGCATCAGCACCCGGCGGGGCTTTTGCAGCCACTGACCATTCCAGAATGGAAGTGGGAGCATGTGACCATGGACTTCGTGGTGGGGCTACCACGAACAGTCAACAACTATGACGCGGTATGGGTAGTGGTTGATAGGCTCACCAAGAGTGCACACTTTTTTGCCTATCAACATTACTTATCCTCTTGAAAGATTGGCAAAGTTATACACGGAGGAGATTGTGAGACTACATGGAGTCCCGATATCCATTGTCTCGGATAGGGATCCACGATTCACATCTCGGTTTTGGCCCAAGTTTCAAGCATCTTTGGGTACTAAACTGAAGTTTAGCACAGCTTTTCATCCGCAGACGGATGGACAATCTGAGAGAGTGATACAGATTCTGGAAGATATGCTTAGGGCATGTGCTTTGGAGTTCCAAGGAAGTTGGGACAAGCATTTGGCTCTAGTTGAGTTTGCCTATAACAATAGTTATCAGGCGAGTATTGGCATGCCTCCATACGAGGCATTGTATGGGAGGAAATGCAGAACACCGTTGTGTTGGGACGAGGTTGGCGAGGCCAAGCTCGAGGGGATTGAACTTGTTGAAATCACCAAGGCTAAGGTGAAGGTCATTCAGGATAGACTCAAGGCTGCCCAAGATCGGCAGAAGAGTTATGCCGACAAACGACGAAGTCCATTGGAGTTCGAGGTCGGTGATAAGGTCTTCCTAAGGATTTCTCCTTGGAAGGGTATCATCCGGTTTATATCGAGGGGAAAGCTTAACCCCCGATACATTGGTCCATTTGAAATCCTTGAAAGGATAGGGGCCGTGGCATACCGTCTCAAGTTGACGCCAGAACATGAGAAGATACACGACGTGTTTCATGTATTAATGCTCAAGAAATACGTGAGAGATCCATCTCATATTCTTGAGAAGCCACCGGTGGAGATACGTGAAGATCTACAATATGCGGTGGAACCAGTAAGGATTGTGGGTCAACAGGTGAAGAAACTGAGGAACAAAGAGATTCCTATGGTAAAGGTTCTTTGGAGGAGTGATCGAGTCAAAGAAGAAACCTGGGAGACTGAGGTGAGGGGGCAATACCCGTTTCTTTTCGATTAGACACGTGGATTTCGGGGACGAAATCCCAAATAAGGGGGGGTGAACTTGTAACACCGTCCCCAAATGCATTTACTCTTAAGTGAATAATATTGTATTTAACCTTATGGATTGGGTAACGAGTTTACGATGTGATGAATTTTTATTAATTCTTTTGCGTGAGTAGTAAATTCGCACGTGGGGCCTGCACCGGGAGCGGGGGCCGCCCGATATTCCCGAGACCGTATATTTTATTCATCTTGGTCTAGATAATAATTATATGGTGGTGTATAACTCATTGAGCCATGGAAAGGTTCAGAGTTGACCGATTGGTCAAAAGAGGCCCAAATACCGGTATTGGCAATTTAACCGATAAAAGCCCGAAATTGAATTTCGGGGACTTATAAATTAAAGCTGGGAAATGTATAATCATTATAAGGGTCAAAATGATTAAGAACTCATAATATATTTTATTTGACCCGATAAAATGAAATATATTTAAAACTGTCCAAAAAATACAACTTTCGGGACCGATTGTACACATTGGGACACAAAGGGATGACCTCCCACATGAGTGGGGGCCAACCCACGTTTTTGTGTGCTATATTAGACAAACTTGGGGCTGGTTGACTTGGAAGGAGGGAGGTGAGGTGATAAGCATCAAAGGTACACCTATGACCCCATTTCCTCACTCATTGGTCCAAAAGAGACAAAAGCCACCCATCCACTCTCACCACCTCCATTCACTCGAGCACCATCATCCAAAGGAAGAGAAAACCTCCCAGAAATCTACCTCCCCCATAGCCAAACTCGTGCTGCAACTCAACAAGAAAGGAGAAGGAAGTTTGAGGAAGAAAAAGGGGAGGAAAAGTGTGTTGATTGAGGTAATGACCCTATACTAGTTTCCCTTTGTTCATTAACAACCATATGGCGATCATAGCATGTGAGGAACCCTTATAGTAGCTCTACATTCTTAAGAATGTAGAAGGAGGGGTTGAGAGGAAGTTCCAAGTCCAAGAACGGACATAGGAGCCAAAATAACCGGTTCACCGGAAAATAACCTTTTAGGGGTTATTTGTATTGATTAAGGTTTTATGATGTTAAAACCTTGTTAGGAACTTGATTAAAGTATTTTTGAGCTTCGCCGGAGTTTTCGCCGGAGTTGGTCAAAGTTCGCCGGAGTTGGTCAAAGTTCACCGGAAATTAGTCAAAGTTCAACCGGGGAGCGTAGAACGCGCGTGAGCTCACTTAAGGTGAGGATGACCGACTATATTGCTTATAATCTTTGGGTTAATTTCATAAGATTTCCTAAATGAATATATAATGTGATTTGCATGGATTATTAATGGTTAAAAATGCCTAAATGAAATTACTATTGATTATAAGTATAGTTTGCATAATATACAAATTTATTGAATAAATTGTGTATGTCTAAATGTTATGAATATGATGGCATGATAGTAGTATCAACCATAAATCCCATTTGTGATAAGTATACTTTTATTTCATGAGAAGAAGCCATGAAGGAATAAAAGTGATATTTTGATATTGAGGCCAAATTACATATTGAATGAAGAATTACATTGAAATGAGTAAATAACTAGTATTGAAATATTAGTTGGAATTGTAGTTGAATAATGGATGAATGGGTCCTAAGAAATTGAATTGTAAAAAATCGGTGATTATTGAGCTGGGCTCTAGACCGATGTAGATAACGGTGATTATTGAGCTGGGCTCTAGACCGTAGTAGTTATCGGTGATTATTGAGCTGGGCTCTAGACCGATGTAGATAACGGTGATTATTGAGCTGGGCTCTAGACCGTAGTAGTTATCGGTGATTATTGAGCTGGGCTCTAGACCGATGTAGATGACGGTGATTATTGAGCTGGGCTCTAGACCGTAGTAGGTAACGGTGATTATTGAGCTGGGCTCTAGACCGTGATAAGTAATGATGAATTGACACTAAACGAATAAAGTTAACCACGATACAATAACACCCTAGATTGAGGGTCTTGGAAATTGAAACTTTGATTATATTTAGTATAGTTGTCATTGTACTTGTCAAATGCTTCCAAGTACTGACCTCCCCTTCACCGGGGAGGCCACCTCACAGTTTCAGGTAGAACTTGAAGGTTGCTACCACCGCCCGTTGTTTCGGGAAGATCAAGGGAGGGAGACGTGGTTCGTGCTTCTTCCGTTCCTGTTTTGAAAACATTTTGAATAATGCTCATGGATACTATTTTTAGATATTTGTTTGGGGGCTTGTATGCCCATGGTTGCCAAAGTGTGGCATAAACACTTATATTAAATGTTTCCGCTGCTTGAATGAATATTTTACATTATGTTTGTTTATGGATGTACTACGTGTGAATGATATTCCAGACGCCTTGTATAGTATGGATGTGTTGGACTGCGGTTGACCATTCGTACTGTACGGCGGATTATTGACGTGTCCGGGTAGGTCCGGGGCGTGACATGTACACTTTTCTTTTATAGCACATGAGTGATACTTAGTTCATTGGTATTTTGATTTCCCTCTATTTTTATTACTCTGCATACAAATCTATCTCGATTAAGGAGCTCAAAAAAGAAAATAAAATGATAAGTCTAAAACCAAAATAATAATGAATGATATACTAAAATATTAATACACATCAATTCTTTAAAATCGTTTCCTCATTTCTCAATAAAATATTAATACATATACTCCATATTGTTTTTCGATATGAATAATGTTATTAACATGTTGTGTAAATAATTTACATCTTTTATTGATATATTACCATTTTAATTCATATCAAATTGACATTATAAGGGCATGTCCCGGGCGTTACACTAGTTTATCTCATCTCATACTTATTACTTATACTAGAGTGATATATTTGTACCTGTTCCGGCTGTTCGCTAGTATTTCTTCCGTTTTTTAAATAAATGCAACAATCAACATTTCACATTTGTCGATACACAATTTTGTCCATTAATATATTTGGTATTAATGGGACAAATTTTGTATTAATACAACAGTCAACGGAGTATAATTTTGTATTAGTAAAAAATTTAGAAAAATTAGATTTTGAAAATTTACAATGATACAAATTTAACAAAAAAATTTTCATAAAAAAATATTAATACATCAATAAATAAAACATAATCAAAATAGAACATGTGAACAATGTAAAATTTAACATGTTGCATTTATTTAAAAATGGATATAGTACTGCTAAATTACTCCGTAATTACACGGAAATGTGAAATGTTGTTTTCATTGTGTCTTTTTTCTCTGAGGTTCATGCTTTCCACATTCCCATTTTCAGATGATAGAATAGAATTAATTACGAAGCAATTAAAAAAGGAATTTTATTAAGGACATGCCCAGTATGCCACCGCTGTTTAGAACCGATATATATATATCTCACTGCTCTCTGCCCAGCAACAGAGAGCCACTACAGACTGACATTTCAATGGGACTTATTCGCGAGTTGAAGATCCACCGCAGAAGAAGCCAATGGCGGAGCTGAGAAGAAGAGAGTCATCTTGGTAATGAGATGGAAGAATTCAATTTCAGACCATCGCATGCAAAATGCTTACCCTATCATTGGGAAGGATATCTCCTTCCCCCGAACTTTCTTATTTTAATACTCTGCTTGTGCTCGAGATAGATGCTGTGTTTGATCGGTTTCCTTAGCAGTACTTGGCAATTTGATTAATTGAAATCAATTCGTATGCACTTTTAGACTTATTGTACGGTCCTGCTAAATATTTTTGTGGGGGCACTAGTTCTTTAGCTCTACCACTGACCCCTTCCCAATTTGATTCTTGCTGCGTACTTGCTAAATAAGTATTTTCCTTAAAAATTAGTACCTTAACCAAAATTTTTGTTTTACTTTTGATATTTTGTTGACCATTAACTTTTGAAGCAGCAATCCTGACGCAATTGGAATATATGTAATGGTTCTCTATATTTCTATACAATTAAAAAAGGTTGTATAGCCAATGAATTTGAAATGTACTCTTTTTATAACAGCAATTCCAGTTCAAACCATCATATTTGCCTTGATTGTTATCTTCAAAGGGCCATTTCTGATGGTTTTCTTTTTCTTTAAACGCTGTTCTGTTGCGTCACTTCCAGATAAATGTTATCTTTACTCAGAAGAGTTTGTTTAGCACTTTAGCCTATAACTTGAAATTTACTCTTCTCTATATGGGTATATCTAGTTGAAGCCTGCAGGATTGCCTTGAATTTTATCTTCAAAGGATCATTGTATATAATCACCAAGGGATCATGAGTACTGTTGATAATAAATCAGATGGTGAATATTCTGTGATTGGTGATAAAGGTGATCTCGGATTCATTGACATTGAGAACTATAAATCTCGTGGCAGCTATGATCTAGATGGAGAGAGTGAGATAGTTGTAATATCTGCTCCATTTGCTTTGGTAAATGGAAGACCAGTGTCTGGCTCTGTAGGAGAAACGATTGTAAATGCAATCACTGTAAAAAATATTACAGATGACTCATTGGATTTATGGTCAATAAAGATTTATGACTCGAAACCTGTGGATTCTTTCACACTCTCTTTGATGGAGCCTCCAACAGCAAGTTCTGATGTTGATTGTATTGAAGAATTTGTGGAAACCTTTAGTGTGGAGGATAGAACACTGAGGCCAGGGCAAACTTTAACTGTTTGGCTATCTTGTAAACCCAAGGAAATTGGACTGCACACATCAGCAGTACACTTTTATGTTGGTGATGAGACAATAGAGCGTCTGGTTTTTGTTTTGGCAGAAGACAAGGTTTGCCAGTCCTTAGTTTCAAAAAGGCCATATCATAGAGAAAGGAAGAACAAAGTCGATGGTTTCACAGTTGATGCTTATGTGGTGGGGTCTCGTCCTTCAAGGGGCTCCAGTCGAGGCGTCAAGCATAGGCCGCCTGACTACCCAATCCCGAGGGAAGTCAGAGAGCTGATCGAGAAAAAACTGACTCCTGATGTTATCATAGAAGGTTTAAAAAGGGAAACCTATTTGACCTATTTCAAAACATTACTAGCAATTGAAGAAATTAAAATGGAGGTATACATTATAGCCTCAGGTTACACATGTAAATGCTCTTAATTTGGTTGGTAATTTGGTATTGAACTTTTACTCCTTTTGCTAGGAAAACATGAGGGAATATGATATGGAGTATGCCACCATGAAGCACAGGGGCATGCAATTCTTATCCCTTGAGGTCCCAGATCTTGCTGAGAGAAGGCCTTCACTTGTGTGCGGAGACTACATTTTTGCAAAGCCAGCATATCAAGATGCATGGGGGGCCAAAGCCACTAAAACTTATCAGGTTCTTTGTGCCTATAAATGACTTCCTTCCTGGTATTTTGAACATTTCCTGAATGTACAACCCCGGTGCAGATTTTATTTTAGTTTAGTTTGATAAATCAACTGATCTTAAGCTGCAATCAAATTTTTATTCTTGTATTTTTTGCAATATTCTAGGTTCATTTTCATGCTTGTCTGTTATAAATTATAATAACATCAGCCTCATGCTACTCGTTTGAGAAAAATAGACTACAGAACTTGAGTTTACTGAAACTATGTCTGGGGTCTGTGCCACTCTGTGGCGGACCTAGGCATCGGATGTTACTGAATGCACATATAGTACTATAGCACATGAGAATAATATAAGCTAAATAAAATTTAGCCTATGAATAGTACTTGTACTAGACTATATGTAATTATTAGACGATATAAAACTGTAAATTCCTAATTACTAGCAGAAAAATGAAAATAAAAACGCTAAATCCGTAATTTTTTTTTCTTCCTAGTTACTATTCCGTACAACACTACGTACATATTTACAATATAAATTTATCTCAACCAAATCAAATATTTCACATAATGACATAATCACATGTATAAGTGTATAAAATTATATTCTTATTTTTTATTGCTATGTTTGTTTTCATAAAAGTAAAAATCAAAATTATACTCGGTGGTTCAGAAGCTAAATAAATTGAACATTAGAGATTACAATATAGACATGTTAAAATAATAACAATGATGATGATGACGATGATATGATTTAATCATATTATTAAGATAATTAAAAATCCTCAAACTGAAGTAGTGGATGAATTGCTTCCGTAGAAGAGTGGAAGTCCAAGCTACTCTTTACTTTTTGAGATAAGTTAGGGGTTATGTTTAGAAAGTGGGTGGAGAATTATTAATTTAGACATTTTTAAATTTAAGGATATTGACTTTTGGACTTCAAGTCTATCCCATACGGTCCATTGTAAGTTGCAACAAAACATTTTTTTATGAAATACAACAAAACAAAAATAGAAAGCCGTATGACCACATTAGTTGCTTAAAGATTATTGAGAAAGCAGTTAAAAAAACAAAACTCACGTGCAGCACAAGAGAGTTTCGATCCTCCGACCTGTAGCCTAAAGAGAATTTTGTTATACTACTCTACCACATAGGCTTAACAACGTATTTTGAGGTGAAGCCTGTGCTTACACTACTTATACTGTAGATCCGCCCCTGTCTGGGGTTAATGTATGATACTTTCTGTTTACTCATGCACTATTCCTAACATTTCTACTCTACACTGACTGTAACAATAAGTGGTATGCCGTTCCAGAAGCTTCTTGTAGTCTTTGTGTTCTCAACATAGAGAGGTCGCTTTTTAATACCCTTGTGCATTTTTCAATCTATATGTTTAAGCGTTATGGTCTTTAGAAACCAAGCCCCCACACGTTACCAGATAATATGAATGAGGAGGGGAACTGTAAAATGCTTGACATGTAATTATGTAAATTAAATTTTACTGGTTTTGTTAACAGGGATTCATACATCGAGTAGAGGCTGAGGAAGTGTTTTTGAAATTTGACAAGGAGTTTCATGCAACCCATAGAGAGGATAATGTCTACAATATACAGTTCGCGTTTAATCGGATTGGCATGCGGAGGATGATTCAGGCAGTTGATGCTGCAGATAAGAGTTTGACTAAAGAATTTCTCTTCCCTTCAGAATTTTCTAGGAGGAGACGTATTCATACCACTCCACTGAAACCTGTATCACATGTGCTTAATGCACAGCAATTGAGTGCAGTTGAGAAGATTCTTGGTTGCAGAGGAGGTGCTGCGTATGTTATCCATGGGCCTCCTGGCACAGGGAAAACGAAGACCCTTATAGAAGCTATACTCCAGCTATACATTCGGAGCAAGAATGCTAGAATTCTTGTTTGTGCACCATCAAATAGTGCTGCTGACAATATACTGGAGAAACTTCTCAGTGAGCAGGCAGTTGAACTCCAGAACAATGAAATCTTCAGGCTTAATGCAATCACGCGCCTTGTCAATGATGTTTCTCCTAATCATCTTGGGTTTTGCTTGGTTGAAGATGAAACTTTCAAGTGCCCCCTTTTGAGGGACCTGATTCGCTTTAGGATCATAATATCTACCTATACTAGTGCATTTAATCTTTATGCTGAAGGCATCAAGCGAGGGCACTTCTCTCACATCTTCTTAGATGAAGCAGCACAGGCTTCAGAGCCTGAGACCATGATTCCTCTCGCTCATTTTGTAGGGAAGGAAACTGTGTCTGTTCTTGCTGGCGATCCCTTGCAACTTGGTCCTATTATCTTCTCAAAAGATGCAGAAAATTATGGTCTAGGAATATCATTCATTGAAAGGCTATATGATAGCAGTGTATATGGGGATCCAAATTATTTTACGAAATTATTGAGAAACTATCGGTGCCATGAATCAATATTGAGCCTTCCATCAGATATGTTTTACAAAGGAGAGCTGATTCCATGCAAAGAAGATAACCAAAACCTGTCCCCTAATTGGGTTGATCTCCTCCCTAACAAGGAGTTTCCTTTGCTTTTCATTGGAGTACAAGGTTTTGACGAGAGGGAAGGAAACAATCCCTCATGGTTTAATCGTATTGAGGCTAGCAAAGTTGTTGAAGTAGTCAGCAGTCTGATTGAGGACAAAGGACTAAAAGGGGAAGACATTGGAGTTATAACACCTTACAGGCAACAAGTGCTCAAGATACGAAGAGTTCTTGAAAGTTCTGACATGAATGAGGTAACGGTTGGCAGCGTGGAACAATTCCAAGGTCAAGAAAGAGAAGTCATTATCATTTCTACAGTGCGTTCAACTGTGAAACATAATGAATTCGACAAGATTCACTACTTGGGATTTTTGAGTAACCCTAGAAGGTTTAATGTAGCTATTACTCGAGCTAAATCTTTGCTTATTGTTATTGGGAATCCTCACATCATTTGCCAGGTACTTTCATAATATTTTTAGTAGATAATATCCAAACAAAAATGCATTTGTGTATGATGCTTGATGGAAAAGCTCTCAAAATCATTCTGTATGGAACCACTTTTAGAGGGAAGAATTGCAGTAATCAATTCCATTGATGGGGCAGGCTGGTGCAGGAAGGCATCCCCGCAACTCCCGCAAGGCGAGGGTTTGGGGAAGGGTTCCGAGCAAGCCTTCCCCTATCAAATTTTTGAAGAGGCTGCTCCCAGGACTTGAACCCATGACCTCTCGGTCACACAACAACACAAAGAGAGAGAGAGAGAGAGAGAGAGAGAGAGAGAGAGAGAGAATGTGGGTGTGGTTATCATAGGCATCGGTACCCAAAAAATCTCATCTATAGGTATTGAGTCTCGAGCTTAAGATCAAATGGTTATCATAATTTTAAGGCTCTTTTGTTGATCCTTAGTTTGTACCTATCGTTTATGCATCTCATATGTCGGGAATATGTAGTGTAAACATTATTGGGTGTGAGGTTATAGCCGGGGGATGATTTTTTTAGACTGCTTAGCTGCCTACGTACTCTGCAGGATCCATATTGGAACAAGCTTCTGTGGTATTGTGTAGGGAATGACTCCTACAAGGGTTGCTTTTTGCCAGTAAAGCAGGAAAGCGTTACTCATGAATCTGCTGGATGGAGAAATGAAGAGCCGAATCATCAGCTATTTGAAGATTGGAGAAATGTTGAGCCTATTAAGCAAGAATCAGAATCTGGACATAACTGGGATGGTATCACACCTCCTGCATCTGGTAATAATTGGAATGATATCCCGCCAACTGAATCTGGTTATAATTATGAAGACCTCTCACCACCTGTTACTAATGAAAATGAATGGTCCGATGGTTGGAAGTAATACTAATAGTGGGAAAGAAAGCTTACTTGCAGTGGAAATGAATTGTTTATAGATATGAGTTAATCCAATTTATAGTGGGATAGAGGCGATGTTGCAATAGGCAACACTTTACAAAGTGTTGCATTAGGCAACGCTTTATAGTGCATGATTTCTGGGTTTATTCATCTTTCTTTGTTTATTCTCTGAATTTTAGTGTAAAGGTGTTCTAAGACAAAGTATTGCTCTCTACAACATGAACTTGTTTCCGTTTTTCTTGAATGCAACCATGCAGGTAGCACTACTAACATTTCAATTCCAAAATCACACCTATTTAAGTGCTAAAAGAGTAATTTTAGCCCTATTTGGCATTTTGGCCTGGTGTTTTCTTGAGATTTGATTTTTTAAACCCTAGTTAAATGAAACTTTATCGGAAAAAGCGTCAACGATCACATCTCATGAAGATTTGATTAAGCTCTTTAAATCATTGAGGTGAGAATTTTTTCTGTTCCTTTTTCATGTACCTTTGCTTGCTCTTTTTAATAGAATTTTCTTTTTCAAAAAAACCTACTACTTTTCTCAACCCTAAAACTGTTTGTCATTCACTTCTTCACGATCTTGCTTATGGAATGTGGATGGTTGAGAGTTGACATCTTTGTTTCTATAATGCCTTTTATGCAAGTTTTTAGAATGAGCATGCCACCAATAAAAATGCATACTATTTTCATATAGCCATCACCCTATATGCTATATACATTTATGTGACTCTTATATGCCTAAACCATATGACGCGATGCCTTCATCAAATTTTAATTTAGTCTGCTTTTGTGCCCCCACAAGCCGTACTTTGAATATTTGAATTTTACCGTTGATGTGATATCTTCTTTGAGACACCCTTGCACTCCCAATGCTCTTCAACTTCAGTGGGATGACCACAAATTTCCAAATGTGGTTACCAGTTAAGGCATAATAGAGGCAATTTCATCACATATGGCTTCATTTTACTAGAAAGAGAGAGAGAAAGAGAGATATTGTATTGAAAGCTAACTGAATCATCTTAGTTACAACTGTATTGGAATACAAGTATTTATAGTGTTAGTTGAGAGGCAAGGAAGAGAGGGACAAAAGTGATACGCCTTTTTCAACCATGGTACAATGCTTTCTTTCCACAACACCATTTTGATGGTGTGTGTGGACAAATGACTCTATGAACGACATCTTTTTTAGTCAGCAGTTTGGTGAAAGATCTAAATTCGCCCCCAGTCAGATTGAATGGACTTAATTGGGACATAAAATTGATCTAGAACATACTGAGAAAAGTTATTGAATGCTGGAAGAGCATCAGTGGAGTACCCATCAAAGGAGGAAATGGGAGCCGGTCCCCAAAGATTTATGAAGACTAACTCAAATGGTTTATGATATTCAGTATTGGAAGTATAAGAAGGTAACCTGTGTGCTTTACCCATGTAACAGTCAGTACAGAAATCAAATGCACTTTTATTGATATTAGAAACATTACATAGTTGAAGTACAAGTTTAAGAGCCTCAAAGTGAGGATGATCTAGTCTTAGGTGCCAAAGATTACACGACTGGGCAGGATTACAAGATTTAGGATGTTTTCTTTGGGACTGTTTTCAGTCCCAGACCAGATCAGACCAGACCAGACTTGTCTTCTGTAGTTATAAAATATACAGAGACCAGACGTTTACCAGACCAGACCAGACAAGTTCAGACCAGATCAGACCAGACCAGCAAATTTCAGTCCAAAAGAAAACATCCTTAGCATTATTACATGTAGATAATAAGACACTAGACTTAGTATTTTGTGCAGATGACATAGAGGGTAGACTGACTGTTGTAGGAGTTTGATGTGAGTCAATAGCAGAAAAGAGAGATAGATGACTGATAGGGGGAGGGAAAGGAAGTAAAACCAATAGACTTGATGTCCAAACCTTGACCATTGCCCATAAAGAGCTTACCAGTTGTGGTATCAGGCTCACTGTGCTGAAGGTTAAGGGTATCTGCAGTAACATGGTGAGTAGCTCCAGAATCAGAGAACCAAGTTTGGGGTTGTGGATGAGGCCCTAGAATGGATGTGTTTAGGGGTGGGGAAAAATACCGAAACTTTGGTATACCGGACTTATCATATCGAAAAATACCGAATTTACCGAAATGTTAGGTATACCGACACTTTTGGTACGATATGATATCGTACCGAATTACTTCGGTATGGTATCGGTATATATTTTGGAAATGAACGGTATACCGGTATACCGTCATACCGTAATTTCAAGCCAATATTTTCCTTAAAATTATAAAAATAACTAGAAACACAACACTAATTCAAGGATAAATCACTTTATATCCATGTTTCTTGAATTATTTATACTTTTTATTGGAGATTGGTGTTATTCTAAATATATTTATGTTGTTTAAATCATTTTAGCAGAATGTGTTGTTATATTCATATATCATGTGTTGAAATATCTATACATATTTATAATATTTTTTGTTCAAAGTTGAATAGAACACAAATAGGTTATCTCATTGGCATTTTATAATTAATTTCATTAATGATTTTAGTATATCACTATTAAAACTGATTTTCTTTATTTCATTTAACATATAATAATTTGTTATATTAAATCATGATAATTTACCGATACCGTACCTTACCATACCGAAATTTTGGTATACCGAAACAAGGTATACCGAAATTTCGGTATGGTAACGGTATGTATTTTTGCATACCGAAAGTTTACGGTACGGTAAAGGTATGCGATAAAATATGCGGTATACCCTACCGAACCACCCCTAGATGTGTTTGCACAGTCCCAAGCAAGCAGCAGTAGGATGTTGTTGTTGTTGTGCAGTAGATGATGAAGGATTATAAGTTGGCTGATCCCAGTTAAATTGTGATTATGAAATATATGATGGATAAGGAGGTCTCTGTGAGAAATGATTGGAGAATTGTGGATGAGTAGAATACGAATTCCAGGAGTTAGATGGTGAAGAATGGGAAGCAGCATAAGAAGGATTGTAGTGATGATAACAGATGAGTGCATGATGATCTATTTTTTCACAAACTTGACATATGATAGGGTTACGTCCTTCAAACCTGCCACCTCTTCCTCTTGTAAAACCTGCATGACCTCTTCCTCTGTAAGAATTATTGCTACCAGTATTATTAAATTGAGCAACCTGAACTGAAGCGTTGTTAGGGGTGTTCTCATTGGTTGGGTGAGTATTTGTAGATGAAACCTCTAAACAAGCAACATTTGTAGACAATAGATTCGTCTGAGATGATTCACTAAGCTTTTGCAATTGTATCTCATTGGCAAATAAAAGAGATTCAACTTCAGACAAAGTTGGAGGATCGGGAATGCTACGAGAAGATATTGATGAAGCCAGAGATTCATATTCCTCATGTAAGCCTTCGAAAATCACATTAATGTGATCCTTAGAGGATATCAGTTCTCTAATTGACAGAAGGTTGTCAATGATGGTTTATATAGTTCAGATTTTAGTTGTCTGGATTTTTGTGATGATGCTCGACTTGAAGAAGGTATTGGTCTCACTCCAGGGCTCATACGAATGTCTGCAATGGATAACATGAGCATGAAACACTTGAGATAGTGACGCGAGTAGCCATGAAAACAACATTTGATCTTGTTGCTCCCAGGCAACATACTCTTCGTTCACCATTCCTGCTGCTTCATCTTCATTGGAGACAGATTCAACATGATTCAAAATGCTTCGGAGTATCTGGTTTGACTATGAAGCGAAGGAGTTTGTGTGCTCGGACGACAGATTCAACATGATGTTTCCAGAAGATGAATTTTTTAGCATCAAGTTTGAGTGGTAACGGATGTGCGAACGTCCCCAGAGATGAAGAATTTGTGGAAGTTGCAGTCGCAGAGGAAAAATGTGATGTGTTGTCTGTGATCGCCATTGATGGATCGAGCTAATGCTCTGATACCATATTAGAAAGAGAGAGAGAGAGAGAGAGATTATATTAAAAGCTAACTGAATGATCTTAGTTACAACTGTATTGGAATACAAGTATATATAGTGTTAGTTGAGTCAACAGACTTCACAACTAACCGAGACCCTATCTAGTAGTATATTGTTTCAATATAAGACTTCTAGTCTATTACAAAGGTGTGTATCTAACACATTTAAAAATGATTAGTCTCTAGAAACAAATGCTTGATTTGTATGTCTTCATGTCAACCGTTTATTGAATCTGGAGCAGAAATTAATGTTTTGGGTTGGGACTAAGACTGCCCACCTAGTCCTCACCTTTTGATAACGAGATCGCTGGTTCAGTGGTGGAAATTGGAATTCTCAATTGGAGAGGCGGTAGTGTAAAAAATTACACATGAATACATATAGACTAGTTACTGGGGGGGGGGGGGGCACTTGCCCCACTTTGTACCGCCGCTGGGTGGTTTGGTCCTGGTTTGTGTCTCATTTGATATTTCTTTTGTATTTCTTTTGTCTCTCATAAACATATCTGTTTCACATGGTGGTCGGAGGCTGGTTCTAAGTCCATCAAAGATATTAAGCATGTTATTCCTAGGGTTATTATGTGGCACATATGGAAATCATTTACTTCTTACTATTGGGGCAACATTTCTGCTAAGTTTATCCAAATATTCTTAAGAAGACTATTAAGTATATCTATCTTTGGGAGGTAGGAATGGAGTTTCCTAAAGGTTGTAAACCTCCGGATTTCATTGTTTAGGAAGGTCTAATCCATGTGGATAAAGGTACTCATGGGCAAAATTTTCTTATAGTTAATCGGAAAAAGTCGAAAGGTACCTTCAAGTTGAATGTTGCCGCTGTCTTTAATGGGAAGTCCTCCTCAGGCGGGCCTATCTTAAGAGATGTTGAGGGTAATCTTATCTTTGTTGGCTCCTACCAACTTCAGACTCATTTAATTTTCGAAGTTGAACTTGTTGCCATTCTTGTGGCTACTTACTGGTTGCTCGATTCTAGGTACACGGATATAGAAATTGAATTGGACTCCCTTGCCGCTATCTCTTTACTCCACCATGACGAGGCGTCTTCAAGCTTTCAACACCTCCCTCTTCCTATTCGACACATCGCTTCAGTCCGACACTTCTCTTTCCTACACTGTTCCAGAGAAGCCTACTGCTTCGCAAGCCTTCTCTTCATACGATCTTTCTCCATCTTGCTCCGCTCCCCGTCCGAATCAGGGGAACCGTCAATCTGGATAGTGTTGCTTGCCCAAACGTTAGGGTTTCCTATTGTATTTTATTTTATTTCCTGTTTAGGTTATTCGCTCCCTTTTGTATTTTCTTGTTTCATTTCTTTTAAGTTGGGCCGGGCCTAGC